TGGCAGCGAGGTTTGGCTCTGCACATGAGCATACGCTAGAGACCTTCGCTGAAGGCAGAATCCAGTGCCATCCAAGTGGGGTCACCTTCCCTGTGCTGATGTCCCTTCAAGAATCCCCCCCTTCCATTGGTCCCACTCCAGGTGGCTTCTTTGCCATCTGTTTTCATGGTTAAGGTAGCAGCTTCCTCACACTGTTGTGTGCACCCTGAAGTCTGGAGCACGGCTGGAGTGCTGAAAGCGCTGCACAAATCCGTGGGAGTGGAAGTCAGTGGGAGTTCTTGCTTTGTACTTAACCAATCAAGCAGATTCAGAGTGTGACAGCTTCCTCCTGGGGTCAGTCTGGGCACTGAGCCCAGCGGGGCTGCCCCCAGCAAGGGCAGAGCCAGGCCGCCAACAAGCTCCTGTGTCACCACCATTGCTGCGGCTCTAACTAAAGACCCACGGCAAGACGGGAAGGAGAATTAGAAGCTCTTTATGAGCCAGTTTGGAAGGCTTGCCAAAACATACCTCGAGGAGAAAAGAACCTGCAGGGAGCCTGTGCACACACAGGCACGGAGACTGGAGATGGCAGGCGGGTGGCGTGTGTCTGGGACATGCCATTCCTACTCACTCTTGGCACGACCTAAACTTGGTACTATCTGAATGCTCTATTTAGTAAAAAAAGTAAAATAAAATTTCTTTTTAAAAATTATTACTATAATTGTGTGTGTATGCAATTGGTGTCCAGAGATCAACTCTGGATATCTTCCTCAATTATTCTTTGCCTCTTTGCCTTATATTTTGAGAAAAGCTCTCTGTTCTAACTAGGTTTATTTTATTTTTTGGTTTTTTGGTTTTTCTCTATGTAACAGTCTTGGCTGATCTGGAACTCTCTTTGTAGACCAGGCTGGCTTCAAACTCACTGAGATCTGCCTACCCTCTGCTTCCCAAGTGCTAGGACCACCTGGCTCTAGTTAGGTTTCTATTGTTTTGATAAAGACCATGACCAAAAGCAGCTAGGGGAGGAAAAGGTTTATTTCAGCTTCCAAATCCTAGTACATCATGAAGGGCCGTCGTGACTTGACCTCAGGCGGAAACTTGGAGGCAAGAACTAAAGCAGAGACCAAGGAGAAGACGGCTTATGGGCCTGCTTTCCCTCCATCCGAGGCCACCTGTGCTGGGGTGGCACTACCCACAGAGCACTGGGTGCTCCCGCATAAGCCATAAATGAAGTAAGTGCTCCCCAGGTCAATCTGATGGGGGCATTTTTTTCTAAGGTGACTCTAGCCTGTGTCAAGTGGACAAAAACCTAACCAGGACAGTCTCTGACTGAATCCGGAGCTTGACAGTTGGGCTAGCTAGGTTGACTGGGCAAACGCCTGAGACATTCCTGCCTCTGTTTCAGCCTCCCAGTGTTGAGACTACAGCTATTATGTGTGGCCATGTCTGATTTTTACATGGGTGCGGGCATCCAAACTCAGGTTAGGGTCTCATGATTATATAACAAGACTTCACCTGTTGAACCATCTCTCTATTCAGCCTCCTCTCCTTTCCTCTCTTCTGTCCTTTCCTGTCCTCTCTTCCTCCCATTTCCTCTCCTCATGACACAGTCTCACACTATAGTTTAGATTGGCCTGGAATTCATCCTGTAGCTCAAGCTGCCTTTCCAATCCAACAGTCATCTGCCTCAGCCTCTCCAGCACTCAGGTTACAGGCCACTGTGCCCTGCTTTATTTAGGGTGTGTCTGTGGTTGGGGGAGGGGCAAGATCGCACTAAGTAGGCTGGGTTTACCTTGAACTCAAGATCTTCTTGCTTTAGCTCCCTGAGATTACAGGTGTCTGCCACCTCGGCCAGCTAATCTAAACAAACAACACTCATCCAAATGAGGAGCCCTCTTGTCGGCAAAACTTATGGCCTAGACACGTCCGTCTGAAATAAGGTGAAGGATGCTCCACTGCACTCCCAGCCATTCGAAAGCACTTGTCAGGGGCCTAGGAACACACGGGGAAGCTGCAAAGATGCCGGCTCCCCACATCAGTGCCGGAAGAATGATCACAGGCATGGATTTGGGATATGACAATACCTTCAAGTCTATTGGGAAATGATGGATTATTAATATAATAAATTGGCATTGTATCCACACTCTTTTTCAGGGGTAGGGGAATTCCACAGGAAAAGCAGATTCTGGGTGGAATTAAGAGATACTAGGAACAAAGTACAGAAAAATAATTTACTAAAGTCAGTACTGAAAGAAAAGAAAATAGCTCCTCCTCCTCATTTTGTTTTGTTTGTTTTTTGTTTTTTTGGGTTTTTCGAGACAGGGTTTCTCTGTGGCTTTGGAGCCTGTCCTGGAACTAGCTCTTGTAGACCAGGCTGGTCTCAAACTCACAGAGATCCGCCTGCCTCTGCCTCCCGAGTACTGGGATTAAAGGTGTGCGCCACCACCGCCCGGCTTCCTTTTGGTTTTTTGAGACAGAGTTTCTCTGTATAACAGCTCTGGCTGTCCTGGAACTTGCTTTGTAGACCAGATTGGCCTCAAACTCATAGAGATCTGCCTGCCTCTGTCTCCTGAGTGCTGGGATTAACAGTGTGCGCCACCACCTCCTGGCTGAGAATAGCTCTTCTCTCTTTGTGTGTGTGTGTGTGTGTGTATATGTGTGGTTTCAGGCAAGGCCTACCTAGTCAAGATGCAAAGATTACGTCATACAGTAACCCAGGCAGGGTTTTGTACTGTCCACACCTATTTCCTGCAGCTCTAAGTTATTTATGGGCTGGGCATGGTAGTCCATACCTGCCATCTCAGCCAGTACTCAGGAGGCTGAGGCAAGTTCTATGCCAGCCTGGGCTACACTGCAAGATCCTGTCTCAAAGAACAAAATGACAACAACAACCAATTTCTAAAAACGGCCTAGAAAGACGATCGCTGGGTAAAGGTGCCTGCCTCCAAGCCTGATGACCTGAATTTGACCCCCGGTCCCGTATGGGAAAGGGAGAGAGAGCTGCCTCTCATAAACTGTCCTCTGTCTGACACACGTGCTGCAGCGCACGTGTGTACACAGGTACATAAAATAAGTAAATGTAACAAAAACTAAAAACAGTGCTGGAGAGATGGCTCAGAGGTAAAGAACACTTGCTGTTCTTGCAGAGGACTTGGCTTTGATTCCCAGTACTCAAATGACAGCTCACAACTCTTTGTAACTCCAGTTCCATGGGATCAAACACCCTCTTCTGGCTTCCTTGGGCACCAGGCACACATGTGGTTCAGAGACACACATGCAGGCAAAAACACACATAAAATAAAAGTAAATTTGTTTGTTTTTGTTTTGCTTTCAAGACAGGGTCCCTCTGTCTTGGCTGTCCTGGAATTCGCTTTGTTGACCAGGCTGACTTTAAACTCATAGAGATCTGCTTACCTCTACCTCCTACGAGCTGGAATTAAAGGTGTGTGTAACCACCACCAAACAAAACTAGATTTTAATAAATTACAAAACAACTTTCCAAAAAGGACAATTTACAACCTTAGGAGAAAACACATTGTAACAAATAGGAAAAGTAACTTGTAAATCAATGTAGTTAAGAAGATAAATTGCCTGATAGAAAGATGAGTAAGGAAGCCCAGAAGGAAATGCACAGTAAGGGACCACAAGCAGCCAATAGAGGGGAGGAGCGGCTCAATTCCACTGGCGATCAGGGAGTGAAAATTAAAAACATGGGTTGACATTTTCTGCTCATCAGATTGACTGCAACTTAAAGTTGAAGCTGAGAATATGCAGCGTTAATGAGTGTGTGGAGGGCATTCATTTTCATAACTGCTTAGCAGTATTAGCAACCGCTCCATCTGTTTTTTGCTGGTGTCTGTCAGGCTGAGAGGAACAGCTAAGGCTGCCTCTGCTACCTTCCAGGTATCATGGGGTGCAATGAGGTTTGTTGGCGGGGGTGGGGGGGCGATTGCTTTAAAATGACCCAGACAGAGCAATGGCTGTCATGAAGCTGACACTGAGACGCAACCAAAGGGGAGGATTTAGAGTTCTGAAGGCCGCAAATCCAGGTTTAAGTATGAAAGGCGAGAAAGGGAGCAGCTCTCCGGAGCAGATGTGCTATGGGGGATGGCAGAAATTCCAGAGGTCTGGGCTGAGTGGACAGGGGCATCCTGGGGTATGGAGAGAGTCTCCCTGTCAAGTCTGGGCAGAGTCAGTGAAGAACCTGAAGCTGAACCAGCGTGGCTGCGGCTGTGGCTGACCCGCCAAGACAGTCAAGGACGTCTGCTGGATGGGCCTGTGCTGTGAGGTGGCCTCAAGTCCCAAAGGACTGACTCTTGGGAGGTCACAGGACACCCACAGAGGACGACTGTCAAGTGCCTATAAGGACACAGGCAGGGCACTCCTTGTGGCTGTGAGCAGGGAGCAGAAGGAATGCAGAGATGAGAAGAGACAAGGCCGAGTCCAGCCAACAGGTATGATCTCCTGGGCTGAGTCTGTCTGCTCCACTCATTCATCATTCCAAAAGAATTTTACAAAACACGGACAGGCTGCCAGGCACAGGCTGAGATTTGGGGCGATATGGCAGGGATCCCGACAAGGCACCTGCTCTGGAGGTGATTTGGAGGGAAGAGGGAGTCCAGGAAGGGAAATAAACAGTAAGATAATCTCTGGCAGAGAACTGCCGGGAGAGAATAAAATGGCGATGAATTAAGAGTGGAGTGGGCGCGGGAAGAGGAGAGAGGGGCGAGCAGCTGATGTCACCCAGCAAGAAAAGGCAGGGAGGGAGCCCCAAAGAAAGTAGGCGGGCACTGCAGGCAGAGGGTAATTGCATAAGACAGTGTTGTGCTAATAAGATCATGTTAAGAAAATTAGGCTTTTTCATTTGTAAAGAACTCACTAGTGAATTCTATTTTTAGTTCTTCCTCTGAGAGTTTGCAAATATTTGTTTGTTGGGGCTGCTGGGGAAGATCCTAGGTCCTTGAAGAACCTTTTGGGGATGAGCATCAGGGGAGGAACCAGTGCTGTTGAGAAGCACCCACCTGCCACGGGGAGTCACGTCCAGAAAGAACTGCACAAGCGCCAGGAGGTTGTGGTGGTGGTCGGAGACCCAGCTGAGGGAGCAGCACAGTGCCTGGAGCTGTGGGGACAGAGGCTCCCTGTGGGCTCGGGGGAAGGCTGCCTTCACCTCTGCCCTGCTGCCCAGTGAACTCAGGGGAGCAAAGGGAATCACGAGGCCACAGACCCCTGAAAAAGCTGCAAGTGGTGCCCTCCCCATGTAGGGTACGCTAGGGGCAAGACAGTTCAGGGTACGCTAGGGGCAAGACAGCTCAGGGAAAGAGTGGTACCTTTCCCGGCCACTCTTGGATGTTTTCCAGCAGTAGGAGCAGGAGTTGCTGGAGATCAGTCTTGGGCAGCAGGCGCAAGCCCACATCCAGGCCTGCGCGACACAGCAGCTCCATCAGGCTCAAAATGCTGGTGTCCGTGTAGGACCTCGGCTGGACTAGGAAACACAGGATCAGGAACTGAAAGGAGAGAGAACCAGGATGGGGCAGGGGTACATGGAATGAGGGAACGGCCAACAGGAAACAGAGTGAGGGATGAGGAGGGGACTCAGAGTGAGAGAAGGGACTGTGGGACCTGTTCCCTGGTGACCAGTGGGGAACCTTCTCTGTACACTTCTTTGGCCATGCTGGCCGTCACAGGCGGATTGCAGGCTTTCAGTAGCATGGGTACCGGGGCCACCACTGAGCCTACAGTGGTGCTGAGCTGGTTCACTGCAGGCACCTGATGATGCTGCCCAGCTAAACTGCTGAGTAGGGCTGGGTTGCACCCCAACACTTGGTGGAGAGGCAGGAAAGGAAAGTTTGGCTCACCTTGTAGATGTAGCTCAGCTTAATGTCCAAGGCTACTTCCTGGGGAGGGTCCTGTGTCTCCTGCCAGCCCAGGCTGGCCTCACTCTCAAGCACTCTGACATAAAGCAGAGACAGTTATCAGTCTACATGACGGGGGAGGGGGAGTAATCGAGGAGGTGAACCAGGAGAAAGAGGCAAAGTGGAGCAGAGAACGCACAGAGGCCCCATTGTCCAAGGCCACTGTCACTGTGTGTCCCAGCATCATGGCTAGGAGAGACCTTTTCCTCCCCCAAGGAGAGGCTTAAAAACATTTATTATGGTTGGGCAGTGGTGGTGCACACCTTTAATCCCAGCACTCGGGAGGCAGAGTCAGGCTAATCTTCATTTATTCCAAGCCAGCCTGGTCTACAAAGTGAGTTCCAAGGCAGTCAGGGCTACACAGAGAAATCTGTCTCAAAAACAACAAAACAGCAACACATAAAACACAAACAAACATAAAAAAACATTTATTATGCCACTGAGATTCTGATCCAGGGGCAGGCAGCTGTGGGTGCTTCTGTGGGTCACGTTCAAGATGCTGGGTGGAACTACCTTCATGTCAGGCTTGCCCAAGCTGGGAACCTGTCTCTCAATTTACCCTTGCAACCCTGGATTGGGAAGATCCTGGTCCCTTGCCCCATGGGGCTTCTCAACATGGTGTCTGGATTCCTCCCCCAGAGTTGGAGGGAAGTACACTTACGACATCTGTGCCTTTCAGACCTGATCTTAAGATGACATTCCATTGTTCCTGCTGATTTCTAACAGCCACACAGGCCACCCTGACTTGGTGTGGGTGGGGACTACACAAGAGCATGGGGGAGAGAACACCACTGAGTGGTGGTCACTGGGTAACCACATTCAGAGGTCTCCGGCTTCAGCATTCTGGGACCTCTGATCCCCCTAACAATCTCCTACAAAACCCATCTTTGCCTGTTCAATAATGCTACCCACTACATGGTAAGAATCACACGGTAACTCACAAGCAGGTTCGGCAAGTGAGACAAAAATCAGAACAAAGCTAATCCCTGCACACCCCCACCAAAGGCTGGAGTTACTTTGCATCTAATAAGTTATCTATGAACAAGCCCAGTGTGGCCAGGCCCTCCACTGATGGGGCGGATCTACTCAAGCACTGAGTTAGCCCAGAGTCACACACAGGCAGTGCAGAGCTGCTCCCAGCAAAGATGGGGTGGCATGAGTGGGGAGCCCTGCACACGTCCTGGATGACTCAATTATTCTCTTCCAGATTTCATGCCAAATGTACATCAGCCACTTCAGGTCAGGTAAGTAGGTTTCATTCAGGTAACCCCTCTGCCGTCTCATTCACTTTTCCATTGTATTTTGAGACAGGGGTCTCAGCTATTCCAGGTTAGTCTCAAGCTCACTATGTAGCCAAGGATGATCGTGAGCTTCTGATCCTCTTCCTCCTGAGTGTTGTGTGGAGCTGGGGCTCAAACCCAGGGCTTCACTCAGTGGGCCCTCGACGCCTGCAGATGCTGAGGGTGACATTGATGCTGTTGCAGTTTCAGGCTCTAGCATGGTTGCTCTGGCCCTGGGCACTGGCAGGCACCACTATGCAGCTTCAGCAAGTTTCATTTATCTTCACTTTTTGGCCCTGGCATATCAGAGGGGCAAGGGATCTGTCGCCTACATCTTGGGAAGTTGGTGCCAAGCAGCCAAAGTCAGTGGTGGGGAAGCTGGAGCTGCGCTCAGCCTTTCTTTGGGTTCTTAGCATTTATTAGGACCAGAGAATGGGTGAGGCTGGAGTTTGCACATCTGGGTGTATACTGGGCCCGCGCCAACATGTGAGTGGGTGTCTTGGTTCGTACCAGCCTGGGAGCAGGCACTGGATGCAAGCAGGGTGGGCATGTTTTCAGATGTGCACAAAGACTCCGGCAGCCGTGCGCTGCTACAGAGAAGCAGGCTTCCAGACAGTGTGACGCTGCCAAGGGAGAAGGAGCAAAGAACGTGTGAGCTGGCGACATGTCTTTTTAGAACTGTCTGAGGAAACGAAGTGTGGCTGTGACAAAGCCCTCTCCTCCTTGGGAAGGGATGCCAGACTTCTCGAGTAGAGCTACCTTCTCTTGTGAGTGCCAGATACTTCCCTGCCCTTCTCTTTCTGGACAGCAAAGTCACGAGGGCCCTTCCCCACTGCTGGCATCTCTAACTGCTATTGTGAGTGTGGTTTATTTACATAGCTGGCAGTGTTGTGTAATGACCAGGGCCTCCTGCATGCTAGGCAAGGACTTGACCCTGGAATGATATCCTGCTAGTGCTATTCCAGATGTAGAATTGGCTGATTCCCACGCCTTCACCTAGTCAGGCCAGGGGGCACCAGGAATTTAAGGCCCATCAGTTCCCATTCTTGCAGCCTGAACTCAGCAGTTGAGGAGTGAGCTCCACAGTCAGCTTCTTCCCCAATCACGAATGAGCACTCACTGCCTCCCTTAACGGCCTGGAGTCTGAGTCTCAGCCACACTGTTTTAGACTAATACCAATTTACCTCAAAAAAAAAAAAAAAGCTGGCCATCAAAGAACCTACATATGGAGTTTGTTTTTATTGTGCTAAGTTAGTCACTGGGGAAAAAAAAAAACTGCCTTTGCTTTGACTGCTGATATTATGATATCCAAATTGAACAAACAGAACACAAAAGAAGGCCACTGCCACACTTTGCCAAGACAAGGTAGAGCAGTCTTCAAAAGTTCCTACTTCTTCTGGGTGGTGGTGGCACACACTTTTAATCCCAGCACTTGGGAGGCAGAGGCAGGTGGATCTCTGTGAGTTTGAGGCCAGATTGGCCTATAGAGTGAGTTCCAGAGCAGCCAGGGCTGTTACACAGAGAAACCCTGTCTTGAAAAACCAAAATCTACACGCCAAAGATGGATGCCCCAACACTGCAGAAGAACCTTGGGCGACTGCTCAGGCAGCAGCTGTCTCTGGCATTTCTATAGTTTTGTTTGCTCTGCACTTCTGTTTACTTAAGTAATACTACATCCTTCTCAGTTCTCTGATGGAGTTGAAGACGAGATTGTTATAGTTACATTTTTTTCTTGTTACCAAATTCAGAAAAAAATTTACATAAGAGATATAAAATTTATAAGGTTGAAAAACATAAAAGCTTAAGTTGTTTATGCAAGATGTTTGAAGGTCTAAAAAGTTATTTTAAAATGGTAATACAAGTTATGATAGAAAGTGGTTTAGGTATAAAACTCTGGACTCACTAAGTTAGGATAGATAACAGATTACTTTCTCTGACCTTCCCAAATACATATGGACTGGATATTGTAAGTATATTCTTACCTGATAATTGTTTGTATTGTATGTAGTCTTACTATGCTAGAGTTAAAACCTCTTTTTATTTAGACAAAAAGGGGGAAATGCGTCAGGCAGTGGTAGCACATGCCTTTAATCCCAGCACTCAGGAGGCAAAGGCAGGCGGATCTCTGTGAGTTCAAGGCCAGCCTGCTCTACAGAGTGAGTTCTAGGATAGGCTCCAAAGCTGCAGAGAAACCCTGTATTGAAAAAAAGGGGGGGGGATAATATTGTGGGATAATGTTTGTACACCGTATGAAGGTGTATTGCTGAGATTGGTGTAATAAAAAGCTAAACGGCCAGTAGCTAGGCAGGAGGTATAGGCAGGATTTCCTGGGAGTGAATGGAAGTAGATGAATCTAGGTACACAAGAGACGCCAGGAGACACAGAAGCAGCAAGATGGGCAGTTTATGACAGAACACTGATGAATAGAAATGGGTTAATTTAAATTATAAGTACAGGTTAAAAACAAGCCTAAGCTAAGGCCAAGCTTTCATAATTAATAATGTCTCCTTATTGTTATTTGGGAGTTGGCTGGCAGGAAAGAGACTTATTACAATGTAGCATTAAGCAGTGAACACTGCCACAGTTTGTACAAACTGGACTTAGTTGATATCTCCTTAAATGAGAAGCAGTGCTCTCTGAACCCATGAGGTGTGTGTATGTATGCGCATTACTCCTGGATCCAATCACACTACTGAAGGTAGTTACCACTACCCCAGTGTGGGACAGGATGTTCTTCCGGGGTATTGTCATTTATGTACCTGCTGGTGTCTGAAGAGGGTGTCCTGTCTGAGAACCAAGTGGGCCATGACTCCTGACTCCACAAAACAGCACTAGAATGCTCTTGAAGGGGCAGACCCATATATCCAGGCAATCCTTTGGCTGGCCTTTTGTTACAGTTTGGATAAGAAATGCCCCCAAAGGATCCTATGTTGAAGGTTCAGTCGCTTCATGAACTAGTGAGCTCCTAGCGGAGTGGACTGTTAACAGATGAGGTGCGGCTGCAGGAAGCACCCATGGGGGCGTGATTTTCAAGGGCACAGTTGTCCCCTCCACGGCTGAGCAGGTCCTCCACCAGCCCCTACACCGTGCCATGAAAGCAGTGAAGACAGCTGACCCCAGACAGAACCCCCTGAAATGGTGAGCTTGCAGACATCTGCCCTCCTCCCTTAGGTGGTTTCTGTCAAACACACTGACAGCTTTGTGGTCAAGAGGCAGCGCTGAGGATCACAGCTACCTAAGAGCCTTCCTGCTGTTCCCAGGGCAGAGGAGACAGCCCAGCCTTTGCTGCAGTGTGGGCCCAGCCCCTTGCAAAGATGCTGAAAATCTCTAACTCCTGCTGCTCATCTATCTTCACACACTGGCCTCTCTTCTGCCCTGCCATTCCCCAAATCCTCCCACTTTTTGGACCTGTGATTTGCATGGTGCAGCTGCCAAAGGGCTGCGCCTTTCTAAGAGGAAGTCTGTGTGTGTCTGAGTTGCGTACCTTGCCTGCAGGGGTGGCGCGTGTGTGCGCATGTGTGTGCATGAGTGTGCACTTGTGTGAATGCATTGGGAGACAGTCAATGGCCTCCTCTCATCACTCCTACCTTGCTTTCTAGTCACTGAACCTGGGTCTCATCGTTTCAGCTAGACTGGTTGACCAGCAAGCTCCTGCCAGCTTTTGTCCCTCTCTCCCAGAGCGTGCCTCACTTCCCGTTGTTCTTGGAACCCAAACTCAGGCCCTCATGCTCCCACAGCAAGCGCTTTACCAACAGAGCCGGCTCTCCAGCCCTGTCAGGAAATCGTGACGCACATTTCAGAAGAGAGATGGTGACAGAAACCTGAGGTTAGGAACAAACAGCGCAAAACATGGCTTTCTCACAGCAACTAGAGGGACAGGCAGTCGTGCACTGTGTGCAGAGGCCTTTCAGTCCTTATTTCAGCCTGAGCTGTTATGAGACTCTGGGGATACCACCAGAGGTGGCCCACAAAGAGCCATAGGTAGTCATGTGGGTAGAATAAGGATAAGAAAAACCCAGAGTGAACAAACGGCACAATGCCAGCATCTAAGAGTGGCCAAGAACCAGGACGGACAGGACCATGGGACAGAGGTGGCCTGCTCTAGCATTTGTCTTGTCTGTTCCTCAAGATGTTGTGCCCTTGGTGAAGGGGTGATGGAACTATCTGGATGCTTCCCAAATACTTTGCAGGAGTTGTCTTTCAGCTCAATGATGGTATCTGGAGCGCTCTCAAATGTAGCAGCCACTTTACAGCAACCCAAGAAACAGCCCTGAGCATCCATCTTCAGCACCCACCTGCTCCAGGGAAGAGGAAGGAAGAAGAATCAATGGATGCAGAAAAATCTCCAGTCTCAGGGGCTTGGCAGGGACTCAGGTCTGCTCTTACAAGTCACAAGCAAGAAAAATGCTCTGGTGGCCATTGATGGGTCCTCCAGGCCCACTCTGAATCCTCCCTGGGCAAGAGGGTTAATGGTTATGCCAATGTCCGGGGCCCATTAGAGGAGGGGGGGTTGAAAGGCATGCCTAGGAGTGAGACCATGTGGCACATCAACTCCCCTCTTCCAATTTGGGTCTTCACTGTCCCTGGCCAAGCTCAAGTGTGTGCGCTAACGTTTGTGTGCACAGATGATTGGGGACGAGTTTACAGGCACAGCCTGGAGGCTTCTGGGAAGAGCAGAGTCTCCAGTGTATCTCCAATCTCCCAGGTGGGCTCTGTGTGTCACAAGTGGCTTCTTGATCTCCTCCACTCCAGGCTCTCTGGCATGCTTTGCTTTTCCCGAGTGTAATTCGAATCCCCCCACTCATCCAAGACACAGTAGGGTGTGTTAGAAAGCAGCAAGAGGCGGATTACACCCGATATGGAGCGCTGCACTCCAGAAGGGAAAGGGGCAGAAGCGTGGCAGGCTGGCACATGCGTGGGGTATTTATAGCAGAGCCAAGTGTGGCTGGGCTTGGCAGACAATTACTAAACACAGTCGTGGAACAGGTTCTTAAGAAATCACCCGCTTTCTTGCAGATGAACATCCGGCAGCTAAAGAAAGGGTCCCAGCTCTGCCTGGGTGGAGGGACCGCTGCCGGATGCGGGGTGGGGATATCTCAAAGAGTTCTCAAGGGAGTTGGGATGTGCTGTGAGTTGGAGAACAATGTAACACACAGCACTGTATAGCCTCTATCTGGTCATCACCCTCCCAACAACAGTCATTGACAGTGTGTGTGGCTCTGTCCCTAGAGGGCAGGGATGTGCTCACACAATTAGTTTCACTGTCCACCACCAGCACTAAGCCCAGTATAGGCACAAAATGGAATCATGCAAAATAGAACCTAGTGGAAACTGTATGCAAAATAGTGCTTGGTGCTGGGGATATAGCTCAGCTGGTCGTTTGTCTAGCTGGTAGGAGGCCCTAGGCAGAGGGAGTTTTCCTTTCTTCTTTTTCTTTTCTTTCTTTCTTTTTTTTCTGCAACAAAGTTTATTTTAGATACGAATGGTATTTTTGAGACAGTCATACTGTGTAGCTCTGTCTGGTCTAGACCTCCTTGTGTAGATCAGACTGGCCAAGAACTCACAAAAATCTGCCTGTCTCTGCAGCCTGGGACTAAAGGATATTCAAGGGGTTTCCATTTTATGCCAGACACACTGGTGTGGACCTGTAATCCCAGCACTCTAGGAGGCAGAGACAGGAAAGCAGCCTTGAGTTCAAGGCCAGCCCTGTACATATAGAATATTCTAGGCCAACTAGGCCTGAAGAGGAAGACTCTATCTTTAAAAACAATGTTCGGGGTGTAGCTCAGTTGGCACAGTGCTTGGCTAGCATTCAGGAAGCCTGGGTTTAATCTCCTGCACTAAACAGAGAGTCTGAGGCCTGCCTGAAAGGTATGAGACCCTATCTCAAAACACCCAAACACACACCTTCTCCCAGCCCAACAACGATAGAAAGCTGGGATCGGCTGGCCAGGAAGCCGCTGTACACGTTAGTCAAACAGATCTGAAGAGAGACTGGAGTCTGCCAGGGGGAGGCGTAAATTGGACTGAGAGGTCTGGGATCCACCAGTGGAGGGGGGCAGGGTCTGAGTAAGGAGCAGAACTCTTCCAGCCTGGTTGTCTGAGCTCTAAGCCCAGAAAGCTACACTGTTTGCTGACTGACACTTGCTCCCACAGGCAGTCTGTGTGCAGCAGTTCCAATCCTGTATGCTAAAGTCACTAGAAAACCAGAGAGAAGGCGGCAGTGCGGGAGGAGAGCTACACACCTTGTGCGGTGCTGGTAGGGCCCCTGTGGATACAGGGCAGGGTTGAAGGCTCCCAAGCTGTGAAACACCTGCTTGACCTCTTGCAGCGAGGGGCACCACAAATGCATGTCTTCATCTGTTGAGACAAAGGAGGCAGAGTTAAGACTGGGGAGAAGAGGATGGGTAACGCTTCCCCTGATGCAGTCCCCAGCTCCAGCCCACTAGTTTCTCCACATCTTGGTGGCGGTGGGAACATTGGCCGCACAAGTGAAGCGACAGGTGCTTTGTGTTTTTTAGGTACTCATGGGGCTACAGGAGCTCATCTGGTCTTCCTCCAGGTATGAGCTGCATGGAAGCATACAGGCCAGAGGCTGGCCATGCCTGACTGTCCGTTCACACCAGGTGGCAGCTGTGCTCAGCTACTCATAGCCAAGTGAGACACAGCTGCTGCGTCTCCCTGCTCCCTGCCACAAACGAATGATGTGATTTCGTACCCACTGCTGCTCCACCCGTACTGTTGCTGAGACCTCTGTGGGCTTCCTGGGCCACTGTCCTGGCCAGGCCAGGAGCAAAGCTTGCCTCCCTTTCAGGCCAGATCAACAAAGGGGAAAAAAAACTGTATCCTTAGGGTTTCTTCCCTGTCAGACCATTTAAGGACTTTGTTCAAAAAACAACAATAAAAAACGATGACTTGCCGGTGCCGGTGCTGCAGGGCAGTCACCCAGCCCACAGGCCTTTCTGCCCCTTGGCCCCTCACACCCTCACTAGGAGGCCTAGGTTCTGTCTCTGACCTGTTAGCATTTCTCTGTATTATCTTTAGCTCACTTGCTTCTAGTGGCCTCTCCTCAAACAGTATACAAATTACAGGAATGCTAGTTCATTTCTATAAACCTAGCTCTTGAGTGGAGGAGGCAGGAGGATTGCTGTGATTCTCAGGTCGGTCTTGGCTACAGAAATGAGGCCATCTCTCAAAAATAAAAACAATTAAAAATAGAATTACTGCAGAGGAAGGGCCATATCTGCATTTACTTCCGGGGCCTAGGAGCAGCCAGCCTGGAAGAAACTGAATGAATGAATGAATGAATGAATGAATGAACGAACGAACAGAGACTCCTCACAGCATGACTAAGCAGTTCACAGGCACAATGGAAGCTGTGAACAGTCACAAGGTAAGGAGGCAGTGGAAAGCCACAGGTGTTCTCAGATGTTGAATCAAGACCTTGGAGGCTGGGCGAAGACATTTGAGTAGCATCAGGAGGGTGAGTGTCCCACCTGAGGTGGAAAGTAACCCAGGGGAGGCTTCGTCTTCTGTCCTCTGGGAGCACTCGTCCAAGAGGGAGAGAAGCCAGGTAGATAAGCAAAGGCCCAGGGTGTCCCTGCAGAAATCCAAGGCAGGGAAAAGGTACAGAGCATGGCCAGGGGTGCCAGTGGGTGCCTGTAGACTGAATTCGGAGTCAGAGGCAGGAAGATCACTCAAGTTTCCAGCCCAGCCTGGGTCTACAAACAAGACTGTCTTAAATAAACAGAATCAGAGAGCAGGCAAGGCGGCTTCACAGGGAAAGATGTCTGCGGCTAAGTCTGACAGCCCGAGTTTGATCCCCGAGACCCACTTAGTGGAAGGAGTCACTGCGCACAAGCTGTCCTCTGCTCTCCACACCTGAGCCGTGACAAGCATGCCCATCAACTGAATACACATGCAAATAAAGAAAAATGTCATGAAATATAAAATAAAACAAAACCCAAAGGTGAAGTGGAATCGAACCTGCCTAGGGGTGAGGGAGCTGGCTGCAGCAGGCAAGTGAGGCATGCCACAGGTAATGTGAGGGAATGTACCCCCCCCAAGAGGTACAGCCATGACAAAAGCAGATTAACAGGAAAGAGTATGGTGGGACCAGAAGGAAGATGGGCCACAGCAAAGGGGAAAGGAAATGGCAGGGTCTTCAGGCCTAGAAAAGGGGCGCCTCCTTCCACAAGAACCATGCAGGGCTGTTCCCTAAACTTGTTAAGTCTCAGCAGGTCACACCATCTGCCTCGCTGACAGACAGCACCTGGCCGGGCACAGGGTCTTTGAAAGCTAGCCAGGGCCACTGCTTCAGCAGGAGTAGGGTGTCTCTCTCCTTAGAAATGTATATGGGTCGGGACTAAGCAAATAAGTAATTAGACTCCTAGAGGAGGAAAAACTGTTGTTGTTTTCCTCCCTCTCCGGCAACCTAACAAGTCAGAGAGCAGTAATGACAGCCCTCAGCCTCCTCACAAAGAGCTGAAAAGTGGAAAGACTCCAAAACACAATGGAGTCCCTGAGCCAGAGCTCTGTTTACCTGCGCCTGGGGGGGGGGGGGGGGCTCTGCACGTACATGCACGCACACGTGGGCGGGAGCGTGACCTTTCCAGAGAGGGGAAGAGAATGGACCTAGGGTGAGGCCCGGCTGGGCTGGAACATCCTGCCAGGCCCTCAGAGCCCCAAGGGGACGCGTCCTGCCCCACCTCAGCCCACACAGGTGCTCAGGGCTCGAAAACCCCTCTGAGGGCAGCAGGGCTGAGCACGGACCTTGGCTTCACACCTCTTCTTTCTCCAACACAGTGCCATCAGACCTGAGGTGTCGGCGCAGTTTCAAAGGAAGGGGGCCCAGATGTGGGGATAAATCAGTCCCCATCAACAACCCTGGAAGTTGGTTCTTGGAGACAGGAAAATACCACCCAGAGCCCATAATTAAGGTTTCCTAAGTAGGCCATGCGCTCAGCTTTTCCTCAGCTCTCTGTCCCAAATGAGGGATTTCTGGAGGCTGACACATAAGAAAATCCAGACTCGAAGCCTCCAGGCTGTCTTCCTATTGAAGTTTCTCCACACACAAGACAGTCATTTTAGGTGACTCCAGAGCAGTCCTCGGGCACGGGGGCTTTTTGGTGCCAGCGTGGGCAGCTGGGCTCTGCCAGAGCCTGGGGCTGGAGGCGGCCCTCTGAGTGGCTCTCCTGGGATGGAACAGACGCTTTAAGAGGAAAAACGGTATCTGGCCTAAAATAAAAGTGACTTTTCCATCTGTGTCACGGAAGAAGCTGTTTTTTCAAGGCTGTGCTCCCGGCACTGGTGACATGGAATGAGAAAACCACACGTGTCCTAAGCACTCTTGCAGCCACTTGGCCAGCGCCAGCCATTCTGAGCCTGGCTCCCAACCCCCTTTCTAGGCCTCCATCACTCATCTTGGGTCAGCACAGGTATGCCAACAGTGAAGCGGGCACCCTGGCTCTTGTGCCTGTCACCTCACCCCAGGTCGGGTGTCTACTGAGCAACACCATCTAACTCAGCCTGGGCCCTAATTTTTCTGAAGTCCCATATACCTCAGGAGGAAAGGAGGCCCTAGGAAGGGGAAGAAACAGACTCTTAAAAAAAAAAAAAAAAAAGAAAGAAACACTTCCCAGGGAGTGTAGGGGAAGCCGGGGAACTGTCTTACTTCCCATTCCAGCTCCTATTACTTAACTTCCCTCCACACTTTAGTGCTTACATTTAAACTAATTTCAGTATGACTTGCTTTAGTCAGTGAAAATGTTCATTCACTCAGCCACTGTTGACCAAACACGGAGTAGGAGCTGTTGTAAATGATCCTGGAGGCCAGAGCACCGAGCACTAACGGAAACTGAACCGGGAGTGAGACACTAGGTGGCCCAAGTGGCATGCAGGAAGTGTCCAGGATGAGTTACGGTGACAGAATAGGGCTCAAAGAGACCTGAAGTCATGGTGGATTTTAGAGGCACAGGAATGGGTGTGTGGCTGTGGGATGGAGACAAGGGCATTGAGGCAGAAGAGCGCCCAGAAATAAAAGGCAAAGGGAAGTCACTGCTCTTGGGAGGTGACCCTGTCATCAAAGGGATAAAGAAAACTCCTCTAGCCAATCAGGACTTTAGTTTTTCTTTTTGTGCTCCTGGAGGGACCCAGGCTCTTGCACATGCTAAGCACATGCTCTACCACTGAGCTACATTCCCAGGCTTTGTGTTCATATTTTAAACCCATGTACATTTCATCACCCCAACCACAGCGTCAGCTCTGGGCACAGCCATTCTCCCTAGTACTGACATTGCCTCTCCCAGCGCCCTCCATAGATCCTGCTGTTCTTGCCGTTTCTCCCCTTTTGTTAGTCTTGAACTTGTTCCTTTGAAATCTCTCCTCCACTCTCTCTCTCAGAGATAGGACGTTTCCACGTACCCTAGGCTGGCCTTGAACTCGCGGCAATCCTGTCTCAGTCCCCAGTTCATTTTGCATTTGTGCATTATGCTCTCTTCTCACTCATCTGAGCAGAGCCCCTCTCTCTGCTATCCCTACCAACCTCCCTACCATGTGATCCACCCTGCATGCCTCCCTGGCATCTCTGTGGGCCTCTGGCCTGTTTATTCATGGCTCTGCATACAGCATAGATGATGGCGTCCCCAGGTCACCTCTCCCTTCCTCTGTCCTCTGTAACACACACCACTGCCTGGTGTCACCTAACACCAGAGTATTCAAGGCCCCCACCATTCAGACTGTATAGTGCCAGACCACAGAAGCACTCATACTGGTGAGAAAGAAAACAGACAAAAGCTAAACAAAACCAGCTATGCTTAAAGAACCATCAAGTCTATGTTTCTATGGTGAAAAAGGAGTCTGGGGCGGTGCAGACGACAGCTGGAGCTGAGGCCTGACTGTACCTGTGGTCGGCCTGCACTGCTCCTTGTTCTGCTCTCAGGGTCCAAGAAGACAACTATAGCCCAGCTATCACATCTCAGCTCCAGGAATTTTCCTCTTTCTTTCTTAATAAACATACATTCATTGTGCAAGATACAATATTTCCATACTGTTTGGTCAGAAGCATCACTCCAGCTCCCTAACACCCGTTATACAAAAGGTCTGGAATATTTAGTTGGGGGAGCCTCATCCCAGCCCCTTGGCATCCATCTTTGGAATACTGGGCAGGAAACGCCATTTCAAGCCCCCTCCCCTGGGAGTTGCCTTAGTCTAAACCCTACCTCCGAGAAAGCCTGCCAAATGGTGACCCCTCCCCAGGGAGAGTTAAGAAATCTTGCCAAATGGTAACCCTCTCCCCAGGGAAGGTCAAGACCACTCCCACAGGCTATTTAAACTGTGATCTCTTGGTTTTGTGTGGACTG